ATACCTAAATATCAAAAGGGATTTGAAATTTGGAGAGAGCTTGATTTAAAAACATCTTTGAGAACAGACATCATACAGACAACAAGGGTGGGAAAAGAAGGCCCTGGAAGGTCAGTGGGGCAGTGTGCTTGTGGGAGGGAGAAGGCCCTGTGGCCCGATTGTGGCACTGTCACTCGGATCCACGGACAGGAATGAGCACATGCACACGCAGCTGGTTTTGGGTCACAGAGCCACCCTGGCTTCATCCGAGCCCTGGTTACATGCATTGGCACTGAATGCACTGGCCAGGGCACGTGGAAACTGCTTTGGAACACACAGCGTGTGTGTATTTCAGAATGTGAATACCAGTTTTTAAAAGAATGAAATCCTTGCTAATACGAGTACACACTCTCTTGAAAAGACCACACATTTTTTGCAGGTTTGTAAACTGTTTGATGATCTCATCAGAGTATGGAAAGTAGGGTTTGTTAGCTCAGCTGCCGAGTCACACCGGGAGGGTCATAAGTTCGAGGCTGGCCAGGGCTGTACAGGGAGCCCAGGGCCAGGCTGCACTGCATAGCAAGACTCTGTCTCTAAAAACTCCAATCAGGAAAATGCAAAACCCTAGAACAGTCTGTGGGCAGTGGAATCTCAGTTTCTGAGTAATTAACAAGCAGTTCTCATACACAGATTGGGGAGGGGGATCCAAAAGGCAATTACAAACCTCTTTGGATGCAGGGGAAAAGAAACTGCTCTCTAATAAACCTCCGGGGATACAGAGGAAGCTATATTGGGAAGGAAGCAGTGATTGCACACTGGTCCTGGGAAATGAGTTGGCACCATGGGCCCGAGGTTGGACCCAGGTCGAAGCTGATGCAGGCAGTGAGGCTTCCGGGCTCCTGAGGAGGAGGTGCAGGGAGGGGACAAGAGAACGAAGATGTGATAGTTCTCCTGCCAGCTCCCTACAAGAATGCAAACACTATGCACTGCAAATGTGAACGAGTAATGGAAATGATATGGAAAAAGAGGTGCACCATTGCAGGGCATAGTGGCTCCAGGGAGAACCAGCAGTGATGGTGGGGATGGAAGGGGTGGTCCTGCAAAAGCAGAGTGCCCAGGGGTCTTCAGATCTGAGGCCCAAGCTGGGGTGCATCCTGGGAGAGGGATAGGAAGCCCTGACCTGTCCTGGGTGGGGTATTCTGAGGGGGGGACCTAACAGTTCCTCAGGGCTCTTATTGTGAACCGACATGTGTCCCTCAAAAGATGTGCTCAGTCCTAACTCCCAGCATCTGCAAATGTGACTGTATTGAACGCAGGGTTTTGAAGGTGTAACCAAGCCAGGTGGTCCTGACTGGGCAGGGTGAGCCTTTGCCCAGGACTGGGGTCCCCTTTACAAGAGGGAAATGCAGACAGAGAAAGGGGTGGTGCTGAGTGAAGACACAGGTGGAAGGGGAGACAGGTCTCAAGGACCCTGGCCAGAGGGGGAGTCAGGAGAGGGGCCTGGATGATTCCCCTCCCTGTAAGACGAACTGGCCGAGCCGAAGCCCTGGAGCGGGGTCCACTGTTTTCATGCACCTGTGCAAACTGAGACAGGTGCACCACAGGTAACCCAGGAGGCAGCCACACAGGGAGGAAATCTGGGTGCACTTCTGTCACTGGCCATATGGCATAGCCACAAGTGGACACATGTCCCTGGACATCTGTCTATGTCCCTGTCAGCTCTACATCTGGGTATGGAGAGCCACCCAGATCTATGAGGGTACCTATCACACAGAGAGGGCTCAGGTAGCAGGCAGAGTGGCAGGTCCCCAGCCTCTGATGAGCTGCTATGAGGATACTGCTGGAGAGCTTGGCCAGCTGGGGAGGCTGGGTTTCTGCTGTCCTCCTCACTCAGCAGAGGAACCCAGAGGAACTGGGCATGGAGTGGGGGTGGGCAAGGGGTACACAGCATGCACTGTCACAGATGCCAGGACTGTGCTCCAGTAAGGGGGTCATCTGGCCCCTATCACAGTGATGGTGACACTCGCTTGTGCAGAGGTAGAGTGGGCACAGGTGCTGGCTCGTGGCATGACCCCTTCACTGCACACAGGTCCCTGCCAGGGAGGCCCTGGGCTGAGAGGCATCTGGTCTCTGAAGCCCCAAGACCTGTGCTGCTGGCCCTCATACTCTCTGTCCTTCATCACTGTCCTCCTCCAGATCTAGAAGGTCTCTCGAGTCTCATGCATTTAGGGGTTGCATCCATGGGATGCTGTGCTCATCAGTGGATTGGTTCACAGCAGAGTCCTTGGCTGAATGTGCTGTTGTGAGGTGGGGTCCTGTTGGAGGTGGTCACCCACTGGGGTGCTGTTCGACCCAGGAGGGTGGTCTCTTGTCCCTGGCTCTGCCCTACTCTCTCTGCTTCCTGGCTGCATAAGGCAGGTTTCTCCTGCTATGGCATACCTTCCAGCCATGACTTGAACCCTCTGAGACTGTGAACCAAATAAACCTGGCCTCCTTTAAGTCCACGTGTTGGGTATTACATCCCAGTGACAGGGGTGCTGACCAATGCAGTCTCTGTGCCTCCTCTTCTTCACTGTACCCCCAGCTCTCTTCCCCAGGGGGCTACTTACACCCAAGTTGTTGGCTCTTGGTCTCTTTTGAGGGGAGCCAGACTCAGGTAAGCACCCCACCCGAGTTCTGCTTCACTGCATACTGGATGGGTAAGATGTCTTTGGATCCAGTGTGATTTTTCAGCCTCCGTATGTGTTTATAAGTTATTTTTCCCTGCCCTTCCTATTTAATTTCTTACATTTGACTGCACTTACCTTAAGCTGCAGTGAGCTCCCTGGAGCTGCCTCATGGTCTCCAAGCCAGATTTTCGCCAATTCCAGACAGTAAATCTACAGGACAATGTTGCTACACAGTCTAGGGCAGCCAGGGCAAACCTTTTAGAGGTTTCAATGACACAAACAGCCTGCCGAGGTCCGAGTGCCATAGGGTTGCCGCCCTGCTCTAGGTCAGCATTCCTCTGACAGTCTAAGGCTGGGTGGATTTTAGCACTTAACCTTTCCCAAAGACGTTTTCCGAGGACACAAGCTCCACGGAGCTCTGGGAGTTAGAGCTTTGCAGCAGAGTGAGTGGGGACCTAAGGACGATGTGGGGCACGGTTATGAAACACAAACAGCAGCCTCTCAGCCGGGGTAAAGCTGGAACCTCTCATGCGGAGCACTTGCCCTGAAAGCCATTCTGTGTGCCCCTGGGAGGGGAGGAGGGGCAGAAACACAGGCCACAGTTGTCCTTTGGCTTCTGTTTCCCCGGCCCTAAGCCACTGACTGCCCAGCTCCTGATTCCTCTCCATGTCTCGTGTCTCAGCACTTGGAAAGTGGCAGGGAGTTTAACCAAGTGGCGATCCTGGCTCCTAAAAGAATCCAGCCGTGAGCAGTGCTACCTTCTAGAATCTCTTTCAAATAAATGCTTTTGAAGTTGTTTATTCAAGAGAAAGAATGCAACTAACAACCACAGAACCCTTAATGGTAGGGACTTTTGCAGAAAAACTTGGGTCTCACAGGTGGTCTGTGAGTCTGCACCCCACCAGGGGCACAGAGCCCCCAGTCCGATGCTAGGCACTTCCTGGGGGGCTTCTGTACTTGGCAGTTGTTGATGTGACTAATTATTTCTGCCAGACTATAGGCACCAACTTAAGAAAATTTGAAACTGTAATGAATGCACTCTAAGTGATCTTGCAAATCCAGTGATAATGACAGTAAGCAGCAGCCTCCTTAGACTGACCCTCCCCTTGATAAAAGACTTTGGGTATAGCATGGGACAGTCACCAAAGGCTGCCCTGACCCTGGACCAGAGGAGGAGGTAGGGAATGGCAGGCACCCAGCAAGGGTGGGATGGGAAAACTAACCCAGGGCCTCACCTTGGGTAACACGCACCCGGAGCCACTTCGCAGGCTGCAACACGGCTGATGTCCATCCAGCAGCGCCAGGCCCCTTCTCAGAGCTGGCCAGCACTCTCAGCCGGCAGCTGTTGTCCTGGAATAGCTTGCCCTCCTAATCCAAGATTCACCACGCTGTTGGAATTTTGTGTTTTTGCGAAGTAAATCTGACCACTTCACTAGACCCTGGGATTAAATACGATCACGACTGCAGTCGAAGTACTCCAGGAGAGAGTGGAGGGAGGGAGTCTTGTGGCTTCCAGCCTGCGTGTCACATGGAGTGACAGACACAAGGCACAAGGCAAGGTGTCGGGCGACCGCGAGTGCCGTTTTTAGGCTGTGGAAGTCGCAGCAGCCAGCAGAGCGCAGCGCACGTGGAAGCCCGCGGCGCGCGGGAGAGAGGGGCCCCCGCCCGCTTCCAGGAGACCCGCGCGTCGCTCCCGCCACGCGCTGCCAGCCGCCAGCCGCGTCCTCGCCCGCGGAGTCCACTCCTTCGCTCGGGCTCCGCGCCTCCCCGCCTCGGCAGCCTCTCTCTGCGCGGCCCCCGAGCGGTCGGTCCCTCCCGCCTCGCGCCGAGTCACGCACGCGGCCGACCCGCAGAGGGCCCGGGGGCGGGTTGACTCAGCCCGCGCGCGGCGCCGTCATCCTGGCTTGCGAGGTGGCGCGGAGGCGCTGCGTCTGGCGATAGCTCCCCTGCCCGCGACCTGGGTGGCGGGGACTGACAGGGCATTCTGGGAAGCCGGCCCCGCGCGGACGCAGACAAAGGGCGCGGGGGCCGGCGGGTGAGCGGACGGGCGCAGGTGCCGGGCCTCGCCGTGCGCCGGGCCGGCTGCGCGGGGCGCGGGGCGCGCGCGGGCGCCGCGTCTTTCTTCTCCCGGCGGTGATGTCATCGGGCGACGGCGGCCGCGGCCGGGGGGCGGCGGCGGGGGCGGCGCCGGGCGCCCGCAGGTTCCGGCGCCTGGCAGGAGCAGGCCCGTGACGGCGGCGGGCCGGGCGCGAGGGCCGAGCCAAGCCGAGGCGGGCCGAGCTGCTGGGCGGCCCATGGACGCGGAGGCGGGCGCGGGCGCGGGCCGGGCGGGCGCTCGGGGGTGACCCGCGCCGCCGCCGCCGCGATGAATTCGGCCGAGCAGACCGTTACGTGGCTCATCACCCTGGGGGTGCTGGAGTCGCCCAAGAAAACCATCGCGGACCCCGAGGGCTTTCTGCAGGCGTCGCTCAAGGATGGGGTGGTCCTCTGCAGGCTGCTGGAGCGCTTGCTGCCCGGGACCATCGAGAAAGTAAGTGCCCCTCTTCCCGGCCGCGCCCCGGCCGAGATGCGCGTAGAGCACCTGGCGCGCGCGCCTTTGTGCGCGGCCGACGGCGGCGGGGCCGGGGCGCCATTGTGTGCGGCGGCGGCGGCGGCAGCGGTGGGGCTGGGCCGGGCAGAGGACGTGGCCGGGGTTCCTGCTCCGCGTCGCTGCCCACCAAGGCTTTGTTCACGCGGGTTTCGCGGCCGGCCCTGCGGGCCGACCCGAGACCGCCCTCCTGGCTCCAGCAGCCTGGTTATGCGTGTTAAACAGATGCAGCCATCCACAGCGCGAGCCGGAGCTGGGCCGTGACTTACTATTTTGCCCACGAAGCAGTCCCTGCCGTGTCCAAGCCTGTAGTCCCGCACGCACGCACGCACTGGGTGTGAAGCCCGGTAGCCTTCAGAGCTGGTGTCAGAACCCAGATTTCCTCTCTGGGTCGCGATGCAAGGCTGGGGCTGGGGCTGGGGCTCCCTGGGGCGGGAGGGTGAACCTTGACCTTGTCTGTGAGCTGCTGGCCGGCTGGGAGCTCACAGGGCCTGGGAAAGCAGGCGCCAGGAACATCAGAAACACTAGAGTCGCATCTACGATTTCCGGAACTGGTACGTAATTTATGAGAAGATCAACGATTATTTAAAAAGTATTAAATGTAGGAACCGAAGTGCACGGTCATTCAGAAGAGCTGTTTAGTTTTCCATGGGGTATACTGGCCTCCAGGCGCAGTGGTAACTTGTTAATCAAATGTTAATTAAGTGCCTTGAAGAAGTTAAAAGCTTAGTTTTGTTCCTGAGTTTGCACAGTATGGAGCAACATTTAAAATTAGGGCAAGAAGCAGTCATTTTAGCATGGATATTGCAGCAGGAGCATTTGTTTTAGGTGTTTCTCTGCCTCGGAACGTATTTATGAAAGCAGGACCTGCATTTTGGAATGAATAGACTGCCTGCCTCTGAAAGTGTTGCTTGTAAATGAAACTAATCAATAAAATCATGATTTAAGATGGGTTGGGAGCAGAATGTAACTTTCAAGGCACACAATGTAGGCTGTCATCTGGAGGTTGGTGCCTCTCATAATAAAAGACAGATGTTGCGCAGACTGAACTGCTCTCAGAGTTTACCAAAATAGGCTTAAAGAAAATGTGGTTCCATTTCTTAAAGCAAAGCTGTAAGAAACTTCCTATGTGAGGACAATAAACCCATGTCAGCATCAAAGCCCCCCAATTTTTTGGTATGTTAGCTGCATTAATATTGATTGGCCAGGCTGGGTGTGGTGGCACATGCCTGTAATCCCAGTACCTGGGAGGCTGAGGCAGGAGGATCTCTGCAAATTTCAGACCAACCTGCCTGAGCTACAAAGTGAGTTCAAAGCTAGCATGCATTGCATAATGAGACCCTGTCTCAAAAAGACAGAAAAAATATTGGCTAATTTCAAGAATCATTTTCGTTTTTGTTTTTGTTTTTTGTTTTTGAGATAGGGTCTCACTATGCAGTGCAGGCTGGCCTTCAGCTCACTTTGTAGCTCAGGCTGGTCTTGAACTTGCAATGATCTTCCTGCCTCTGCCTCCCAAGGGCTGGGATTACAGGTGTGCACACACCTAGCTAAGAAACATTATGAAAGCAGGACTCGCATTTTGGAATGAATAGGCTGCCTGACTTTAAAATTCTGAAAAAGATCTTGTTAGAAAACTGTGGTGTTCCTTTCATCTGTAAAGCAACAAAGGAGTGAATAAAATGTGTGGCCCATAGCAACCATGGAGGTGATCTATTTCACCACTGTGGGCCGGTGGACCAGTTCTCAGGTCAAACCTGCTGTTTGTCTCCAAGAGCCCCAGCAGACTCTATGGCCATGAAAGTTGAGTGTCAAAGCACTAAACTATGGACAGAGCACCTGTACTTGAGCTCAAAGGTGGGTTTTAGGAGTCAGATATTAGCCGTTCTGTCTCTCAAGGCCTGTGCTCAGAAGTCCTGTTTTCCCGGCCAGCGCTTGCATGTGGTAACGTGCCACAGAGCATGTGTGTAGACCAGCTATGATTTCAGGGAGGGCGTGTGACTCTCCTGTGATTCTGTGGTCCCTTTCCTGGACATTTGGAAGCTGAACAAAGCATCCGTGTGGGCTGAAAGGACCTTTGCGTGACCCGTTGCCACATGGGTGCCTTGGCAGCAGTGGCCATGTGAGCAGCATGTGGCTTCGCCTCCACATGTCCACAGCCTCACAGGTGCCACGAGGCTGGGGTGACCGAGGAGGGTCCCCTGCACATTTCTCTGTGACTGTAGGTGCCTTGGTTTTTAGGGCAGGGAGGGGACATTCATGGAGCTCCGGGCATCCTAGCTGTGGGCACCCTCAGTGACGTTCCTCTGTGTTTCCGGCTGGACAGTGAGCAGAGGGGCGTGTGGAGATCCTCACGTGGGCACCAGGGAGAGGCCCTGAGCGTGACCACTGTGAGCGTCCTGAGAGGAGGCGGAGGTGCGATTGGGAGCTTCAGTCCTGTGTCCTGTGCTTGAAGGGTGACTCTGCAGCTCTCTCTGCCCGACCCTCGCTCCTCTTGTGTCCGGGACGCAACAAGGCCACAATGTCCTGGATCTTGGCAGGACAACTTCCCACTGTATATACCCCAGGTCCTGGAGGCGATGCTCAGATGCAGGGCGCCATTGCAGGGTTAACGCAACCTGTGCTACATGCAGTTTCAATTCAATGGGGCTTGAGGCAGGCTAAATCATTTAACTCAACCTGAAAACTCAGAACTGGTTCTCTTTGTGCCCAGCAGGAGAGAAGTCATGGAGAGCTCAGGGGTCCCGTGCCTTGTCCTGCAGGAGACCTGGATACACTGCGGCTGGGGTTAGTGAAAGTTAGGCACCACACCAGTCTTTGCAGGGGAGTCTGGTGTGTGTGTTTGTCCTGTGGCCTGGAGGCCAGAAGTCTGAGGTTGAGGGGTCCCCAGGGCACTGGGCCCCAATCTTCTGTGCTGTTCTGGGGTCTGCACAGAGCTGCAGCTCCCTTGAGGACAGCAGCGCTGTTAGGTGAGGCCCTCCCCGCCTTAGCTGATGACGACTGTGGTCACCTCATTTCCAAATAAGGCTGTACTCTAAGGCGCTGAGATCAGGATCTGCGCATTGAATTTGGGGGAGCAAATGTGACCAGCAAGGGCCGTATTGGCGGCAAAGTGGTGGTCCCTTCTGTCTCATGGAATGTCTCAGCTCTCTGGTCAGATCCCATGTGCCCTGGACTTGACCCTGGGTCCCTCACTGAAGGGAGCGGGCAGGGGGGAACATTGTCCTGAGACACACAGCCTGCCACCTAAGGGGCTCGAGGCCCCTGACCCGCCTGTGCCACCCAGCTTTGTGGGAGACCCCTCACTGGCTGTGCATTCAGCAGCCCCAGCTTCAGCCCTGTAATGTTTGCTGAGTGACTGGGCCATCCTGTTTCCGCCTTCAAGTGGGCCAGCGTCACCAGGCGCCAGAGAGGCCTGTTGGGCACAGTAGGGACATCTCAGGGGACACAGAAGGATGCACAGGCACCGAGGAAGCCCCAGGACCTGAAGTTTGTGCCACACTTCGACCTACCCTGAAAAGTGTCCCACGTGCCCAGAAAACCCTAAGCACAGCTGCCCAGGCCTGGAAATGTAGCTCTCGTCCCTCCTCACAGCCAAGTGGCCTAGTGACCTCTGTCCCACCCAAAAGAGGGCTCACTGCTCCTGTGCATTGTCCATGGGCCCTTGGTGGCAGCTATCATGTGGCTGTCTTTGGCTACACACATGGGCATGGTGTGTGCTGGCTGACGCCCTGCTCAGGACCACCCTGAGCCTGTGGCCTAGCTCCTGGGAGGTGCTGCATTCCTTGGACTGTGTCCCCAGCCTTTCTCAGCCTCTGCGGTGGTCACACTGGCCCTCAGCAGGGACAGCACAGTCTGAGTGTGTGCCGTGTGCCAGACCCCATCATGCTCTGGCGCTGCCCTGTGTCCAGGGTGGGGCGGATGCCTGGGCCCCCGGCTAGGCCTCGATCCTGCGGGCCGTGTCTGCTCACACTTCTTGTCTTTCTCTACTTACATTACAGTTACTACTCTTCCTTTCCTAGGCACCCTTCTTTCTCATTCTCAGGCTTGTCTTCCTCCAACTTCTTGCCTTCTACTGTTCTCCTTTTCTCTGTTTCTGTGCCCTCCTTCTGTGATCCTGTTCTTGTTTTTGGACTGTGCCTGCCCCTCCTCGCATCACCTGACAGCTCTGGGAAGTGGTCTCCCGCTGTGGGGGTGGGGACACTGGGGAAAGTGAGTGGCTGCAGCAGTGGTGTGAGGCCGGCTCTCTGCAGCTCCCTGGCACCAGCTCTCCCCATGCTGGGCCTCTGGGATCACTTTTCTGGAAAGCAAGGCTGAGGGCCCTGACCTCCCACGGTGACCTGGAGCCCATGTGTTGCTGTTGTCAATGGAAGTGAGGTTTGCGTTTCTTGTTCTCCTGTTTTTCGAGGGATGTTGTAAGAGAAGCAAGTCAGACAATTTTACACCTTGAATTGGAACCCCAGTAACATCAGAAGGGGGGCAGGCAGACAGACAGGCACTGTCCTTGCTTGTAGCCCTCCTGTCTTTGTGACTACTTTGATGTGCTCCTCTTGTGTCAAGTGGCCTTTTTTCCTTTGCTTGGTGTTGCATGCATGACTTTGTAAGGTGTTGTGACTGACAAAAGTAGTAAATGCCTAAGTGAGAAAGAACAGTGACAGTAGCAGACCCTTGCCAGGAATCCCCTTCAGAACACCCCTCCTGACTCCCAGCCTGTGCATCCCATCAACTTCGATACTTCTGCTGCAGATCTGGAGTCCCTCTCCTGAGGGCCTTCAGCTGCATTGTCCTGGCTGCCTCCATGTCCTGAAAGGATTCAAACAGTTTCCCCTTCAAGGTCATTTTGACTTGGGGGAAAGCCAGGAGTCACACAATGCCAGATCTAGTGACAAAGTTGAACCACGACAATGTCATGTGTTAGGTGCTACCTTTCTGTTTCATGGTGTGTC